CCAGCCATGGGCCTAACTCATTGCAGGGGGAATTGGTGTTACTATTTGTGTAACTATTTCTTGCTAAATGACGATACTATATTTGTTATGAAACATGATTAAAACTACTTTTACGGATTTTATCGCGTTTATTTTTACTTTTTATTTTTATTTTTAATTCCCGACGTTTCGGGCGCTTTCCAGCACCCATGGTCACGGGGGGACTGAGATGACTGACGTCCCGATGTCATTGTTAAACCCGGAGTACCTTCAGCTTTTTTAATTATTGTTTATGGTCCGATCTATGCAAAATGAACTGACTATGTCCTGAGGTCTTGCAGTGGTATGCTTGGGTTTAGTATTAATTTTATTGATTATAGGATCCCAAGCAGGTGGTAGTACCCAGCCTCCTTCTCTATTGAAATTAGGATGTTTTTTAATTTTAATGGCCTCACGTATCATCCTTGGTAGGAATCGGTGTTCTTTCGCGAGGATTTGTGGTCTATCAAATCTGATGTAATGGTTGGGGCCGTCTAGAATATGATCACAAACTGCAGACTTCCCGGAATGTTGATGCTTCACATCATTGAATGGTTGATGCAAGACCTCAGGACATAGTTCATTTTGCATAGATCGGACCATAAACAATAATTAAAAAAGCTGAAGGTACTCCGGGTTTAACAATGACATCGGGACGTCAGTCATCTCAGTCCCCCGTGACCATGGGTGCTGGAAAGCGCCCGAAACGTCGGGAATTAAAAATAAAAATAAAAAGTAAAAATAAACGTGATAAAATCCGTAAAAGTAGTTTTAATCATGTGCAATGTTCGCGTAAATATAAGAAATCATTATGTTATGAAACATATTTATATTTTGTTTACTTATCCTTTATAACATCTTCAACTAGGGTTTACAAAGGGCAGACTTTATGTTCTATGGCCGTATGAACCGTTCAAGGTAACCTCGGGTGTTCCTCAAGGGTCACATTTAGGGCCCCTTTTGTTTTTAATTTTGATCAACTCAGTGACAGAATGATTTTTGAACACAGAAGTTTACCTGTTTGCTGACGATTTGAAATTCGTTAAACCTGTTAGATCATCAACAGACTCCCAGCTTATTCAAGCCGATTTGGATAGATTGATCGAGTGGTGTACTCAAAACAATATGATTCTGAATGCTAAAAAGTGTTATCATATGTCATTCACACGCAAACATACTCCTATCCAAACTACATACAAAATTGGCAACACAGTACTCAATCAAGTAGAGTGTATACGAGACCTGGGCGTTTTGTTGGATAGTAAACTGTCTTTTGTACCACATATAAACAGTATAATAACGAAGGCGTCCAAAATGTGCGGATTTTTAGGTAGAAACACCAAACAGTTCAGACATACTCGAACATTGCTACTACTCTTTCACAGCTTAGTTCGGAGCAACCTTGAATATTGTTCTCAAGTTTGGTCTCCTTTCTATGAGGTTCATAAGAGTGGAATTGAACGAGTACAGCGGAGGTTCCTTAGTATGCTAGCATTGAAATTTAACCGACACCGCTCCTTAACTTCATATGATGAACGGCTAAAGCATTTCCGTATATCTTCCTTATATAACAGGCGCAAACTTTTGGATTTAAGCTTCCTCCACAAACTATGTAATAATGGCATTGACTGTCCTCAATTACTTGAAATGGATAACATTAATGCTCCAAGCAGATTACCACGATTTAATGTCTACAAGCTGTTTATGGTCCCACCTCACAGGACTAACCTCGGTCTTAATTCAGCATTGTGCAGAATGTTTAGACTGTATAATGATATATCTAGGCCATCTGATTTAGATATTTTCAATGACAATTTAAATAATTTCAGAAGAAAAATGTTACTTTATTTAGAATCTAAGTTTTAGATGATAAATGTAAAACCCTTTTAATTTCTCACAAATACGCAATTTTGCTACTGTACTATTAAATTTTAATTAACTTTTCGCAACATTACTCTGTGTTAGCTGTGGTTACCTATAACTGGGTGAGCACATTGCATGTTTCTCACAAAGCTTGGTTCTTGTTTTAGTATTTGTGTATCATCTGTCGGTGACCCTTATAAATAAATAAATAAATAAATAAATAAATAAATTGGCATTCTCTACAAGACAACCTTGAGAAAGATGGAATAAATAAAGATGTTGGTAGGTGTAAATTAAGGATAAAAAAGCCCTGAAAAGATATATAGTTAAATTATTAATTCATATTACTTTATTTAATATAAATAAAGGTATATTATAATAAGTTATAAGAAAATTTTTGTTCGTTGTTTCATAACCACCGCTCCAAAGTTTTAATCTACAGTGTAATTAATCATGCTGTGTGAAAGTTAGTAAGTACAACCAAAGAAAATAAAAACGTGAAGAGGTCGTCTAATTAGTTCTCTATCTTTCTATAAAAGTATATATTGTCGGATATTAGTTCACTATTTACCATGTTTTTATTAACTCGCTTTCTTGTTTGTCTGGTCGGGTCGCGTTTAGTAATAGATTTTATGCTCATTTTCTGCTGAGCTAGTCACATGAAATTTTGATCATATAGCTCGATATGAAAAAAAACCATGGTAGATGTATTAAAAATAATAAATTTTATTTTTTTCCATTAGGATTACTATCATATAACAAGTGCGTCAGGTTACTCAGTCTCTACTTCTGTCCATCGTTTGTCGCTAATTTTTGCTATCTGGACAATACTGCTTTATAAGCTTGAGCGCATTCCAAATGTATGTATCAATTATATTCAAATATTATGATCTCATTTCTGAAGTTTGCAAACAGCTCCAATGACTCCCAATTGACTTCGCAGGAATACTCACATTCTGTCTGCTTTTAACGACATTCTGTTTAATCCTTCCACTTCTCCTTTTTCTAGTCCTGTGCAAACTTCTTCCTTAAAATATTAACAGTTTCAAAAAAATTTTCACCCAGCAATGGCGGACTTTTGACAGAAGTAATCGAGCTCAGTAAAACGGGTCTCTGGTTCTGTTTACTCACCATGCGAAACACAATAGCATAACGCTATTTCACATAGATAGATGGTATTATCTTTAAGAGTCCTTACCCGGTCGAGCCGACCCATTCATATTGCCGCCATAATACTCAGATATTGGCTTGACTCTATCACGTACAGAAAGGGTGCAATACGTGTGTCGTCTTGTAAATACTCTTTACGTGATAGAACCACGTCAGCTATATTATGGTTGAAGCACGAATGGATCGGCTTAACCGGGGGTGGACTACGCTCTCACCGAAAATCAGCGTAAAATAGTAGCTTGATGCTGTTGTGTTTCGTATGGTGAGTGTAGAGAACCGGAGAGAGAGAACCGGACTACAGGAAACGACATTTCATTTTATTTTTCAGGATTTTTAATCTGGGATAGATGTAATAATCTATGGACCACAGCATCTACATACATTCTGTGTGTAAGATGACTGTGTGCTCGTATGTTTCCTTTTTCTATAAAAAAAAGAACAGTACGAGTATATCTATCCGTTATTTCCAGCCTATAAAGGTTTTAAAAGTGGATTCAAAAAAACTTCCAATGAGGTTTTAAAAAATATTTTGGGTTGTTATCAGCAAGACGTTGCCGCTTATCTCCTGGTTCAGTCTCCCACTGTCCCCTCTTACGACACCAGTACGATATGGTGTAGTGGATATTCTTACACCGCCACTGCACCGAATAGTATGGTATGGTTTGTTGTACTGGTGTAGAATATGAAGTGCCCATACAATAAATATAGCGGAAAAGAACTGACAAATATGATGACATGAATTTGTATGTTATAAGACTTAACTACAGAAGTGCGGGTAGATGTCATGGCCTCCTATTTACAACCTAAAACTCTCAGAGAAACTTTAAAGAAATAAGAATATTGACTTTGGCCTGACAGTGTATTTACGAAAATGTAACGTATGTTCACAAAAACAATAAAAATGATATACACTCTGTAAAAACTAGGTACTAACAGTGATACCAGGTTCTCGACTTTACAAAGACAGTAATTCATTTATGGGTGTGGCAATGTATACTCTATTACAAGTTCCTCAAAGATACATGGTCTCTATTAATAAGTTTTAATATTTTATTAAACAAAAACTGTATAAAAAGTGTTATTATAATATAAATGAATACATGGTTCATAATAACCCCTGGGAATGAGATGGTCGCTTGCAAGCTGTTTCTTAAATAAGTTTTGTATGTAGTTTGTACAATCTTTCTTATTGTATTTTTTACATTGAAAATAAAGTCCCTCTGGGTTTCTTGCTGGTTGTTCTAAGGACAGAGGGTTTTTCCGAAACAGGGGTAAAAGTAAAAATTGGTTTTTAATAAGAATTACTTGTACTAAATTTATACTGAATAAAAATAATCTATTATTTTATCCGATAACTTGCAGTATAACCATCACATATTATCATAGCATACCGATTGTCAAAATCGACAACAAGGAACAATCTTCCTCCAATGGGGGAGTCCATATAATAGTGGACTGTTCATTAAAGCCGACGACAGTCACCCGACGCTGCCGAGTCGAGCAGCCCAACCACGCTACCATTTGTGGAAAAATACTTGAATCAAAGAAGACATCCACGACTTGTTCTGCCCCAAAGCGGCGCCACTTTTAGTTAAGCAATCAGGTAAAATATTAGATAGATTTCATAGTGGGGAAGTTAATTTTTATGGAAAATATAAGAGTTTATCTTTCTTCCCGTAATATTAGTTATATTTTATATTAATTAGATTAGAAATGAACAAACCGAACTACAGATATTCACAAAAATAGAATTTTTTTAAAAAAGTTAATAATATTCATAAACTTAAAAAGCAAACCATTGTGTGTATTAATATAATAATCTAGAAACTGATAAAATTTTATTTAAAAATAACTTCTCAATTAAATGGCAATATGTAATAAATAACTTCACCTCTGTCCCTAATAGCGACGTTTGGTGGTGAAGTTTATTAGACCTCATTGGAACTTACAGAGACGAAGCTGGCGGCGCAGTATGCGGCGCCGAGCAGCGCTGGGGCGGAGCCGGTCCAGCGGCGATCCATGGCGGCGAAATGCGCCGCGGCCACTAGCCCCGACAGCACCAGCTCGGTGCCCAGCCGCTCCCACGCGGCGGCCCCGCCGCCTGGCAGCGCCGCGGCGAGGCTGCCCGCGTACCCCGGCACGCTCACCCTACAACAAAAAGATCAATAATTACTTTTATAGCTATGCGGCAGCCATATTATGGTTGTAAAACGAATAGGTCGGCTCGACCGGGGAAAGACCGTGCGCTCACAGAATACCAGCGTAAAATTGCAGCTCAGTGCTGCTGTGTTTCGTATGATGAGTGTAGAGAACCGGAGACCCTTTTTACTGGAACCGAAGCATTCCATCTTAGTCCTCAAGGGTGACAAATTCTTAACATTTTGATTATTATTCGAAGATTTATATTATGATAGATGTTTATGAGCCACAACATCTACTAACAGATGTACATGAGCGATGGTGATGCCTTACCATCAGGTGAGCAGTATGCTCGTTTGTCACCCTTATTCTATAAAACTTGTTAAATAGTTATTCAATATATAATTATACAGTAACTCTTTTCTTGTAAAACTTTCAACAGAAGAAGTAAGTTAACCCAAAAGTAACGGCAACCCAGACAAACCCCATCAAGTAGTAAGCTCTACCACTTACTAGTAAAATTTATAATCGAGTAAGTTTTAATAAAACAATTATAGCATCGTTATAAAGACGTACTTCTGTTCTGTTACATAACGTTTTCCTTATATCTAATGTCTTGTAATAATTTTGCTGACTTTATATTATTTTCTGTTGGAAACCTTTTATTCTAGTTTTGCTGTATGCTAAAACGCTTTTCTTTTATATCGTTGCTTATTTCGCAAGTTTTTGTTATTTTGTTTTCTTTGTTCCAGACAAAGCGTATTCACTCGGCCCCGCCCCCATAGTACAATAAGTTGAAATGAATTTGATGCAGTGGCTTAGAGATAGAAATAATCAATACAACAAGACCAAAAATGTGTAAGAAACAAAATATAGATTTCTTTAGATATGCTGACTACGACACCACATAATCGTCAATTTGATGATGTATTCGATTTCAACTACTGTCAATATTCGTGACTACATAGTGATTAATGTCGGATGCTATTAACTGCGTATCAATTCTTACTTAATATACAAGTTACGGCCGGACAAAGGTAAGTTAGGACAAACCAGGCCGGCTTGTCGTAACTCTCGACAGATTCGAGATTCGAACTCCCACAACCATAGCTAGCGCACAATCGAATGGAGGTCAAATAGAAATTTAAAAACAAATGTAAGATTGAAAATAGACTAAGAATATGCCAAGATGGTTGACCTCGTTTCAACCATAATGTTGTTAAAAGTCAAGTAATCCAGTTACTTACACACGATTAATATTTCTGCATATTTAATAACGCCTTAATGTGAAATTTTCATGGGACACAATTTGCATAATCGCTTCCCTTCCATTACTTTGCAGTGAGTTTTTGACGTCAATCTAGTACTTTGTAGCTGCCTAATTAGATGAACTTCTTATCTCCAGTCGCAGTTTTATGCGGGTCACGTCCCTTCGCTATAAAGCATTATCGAACTTTTCTCGTAAGCTCACTTACACTAGTTAACTTTTATAGAACGTAATATTCTAGTTTGCAAAGTAACCCGATTTAAGTGCGAACTACCATGATTTATTATAGAAATGACGTAGGAGAAATTTTGATATTGAGTATGTTTGCAAAACTACTACAAAGTAATGGGTGTACTGTCATCGTCTTGTGTCATTGAAATGGCGCCCAACATTACCTCTAAGGGTAGAAACTGAGCGGCAAGCCTATAGTGTAGTGGAGAACAGTGATGACAAACACAAGCTTTGTAATGTTTTTTTTTCATGGTTTAATTTAATCTTTATTATATACACGTTAACAATGGCTACAAAGTAATTAAAAAGTAATAATAATTATTTAATAACTCCTTTTTAACAATCAAACCGCGTTGAAAGAGGCGAGAAAAGAAAACTAAAACAAAAATGAACAGCAGCATTTCCTGATAAAAACACAAAATAAAACTGTTGCTGCACACCCTCCCGACCCTCTTGTGAAGCGACCTCGTGTCAACTATAGCTCACATCTTCCCTTTGAGGCAATCTGTGGAAAAGATCTACGTTCAGCCGTGGACTTTTGATATTCTGTTTTGTAAAAGATGAATTATTTAGTTGGTTAAAGGGTTTAAAAGGGCGAACTTCATGCATTATTGAATTCTGAAACAGTCAACCATGATGTGCGGTATTGCCGTATCTTTAGCGGTGGTCGGTCATCATGTATCCTGAACGCACTGCTACAACACACGCCCCGGATAACGCTATCGAATCCGGTAGTTTCTAAACTAAACTAATAGACATTGTACACACATAAGGACAAGTGTCCATGGCTTTTTTTCCAGATGGTAAAATCGGTCATCCAATATATATGTTTGTATTTTTTAAATTCTAGTCAAAAACGAAGACTTTTTATTGATGATAATGAATAAGCGAAGACCAATACCCAGTGTCTATACTAAAAACTCTTCATTTATGAAAATTGCTTTTCGTTTTTGATTACTGCAAATGAAGTTTTAGAGTCGAATTTCATTTTTAGGTGTTGCAGAATCTGAACAACCAGTTTTTTTTAATAGGATAGGGTGACAAACGAGCACACAGTCCACCTGATGGTAAGTGGTTGCCTCCTGATGGTAAGGACATGGACCTATAAAAAAGGGCGGACGCCGTCTCTTAAAACAATTACTGACACACCCATATACGAGTAAGTCAGTTCGCTAATGCAAACAAGCCGGCACACACACATGCACACCATAGTAAGTCCGCCATTACGCTCCAATCTGCGCTCGCCTAGTTACTCACACATAGATAGGTGTCACTACAGATGCCTGTAACATGTGAACGGAGTAGAATTTTTTTTTCAATTGTAAACAATTCAAATTTTTTGTTTTTAGTTTTTGTAAAATGTCAGTGCCATAGGCTTCTACTCCGTTCACATGTTACACCCTATTTTTTCCAGATGGTAAAAAAGGTCATCCAGTACAACTAATAACTTTTTATAAAGTTGAAGTTACAACGAACTTGAAACACCTGAAGCTAACTTTATCCAAGGAAACCTACAGATGCGTTTTCACCTCTGATGATTAAATTACCTCACACCCAGTAATTCACTGGCACTCTATCCAGTGCAGACCGGCACACAGCACTGCAAGCACGGCTATTTAGCAGCAGAAATAGGTAAAAAGTACTTACCTACAAAGTTCTACCACTTAGTAAAATGTCCTACTAAACCAAGATATAATGGTATAGAGCAAGAAAATCTTTTCAAAAGGAAACTGAATAACTGAATAAACCTATTAGGATAAATAAGTTAGACGGCAATAAATTACATATTTGCTTGTAGAAAGAAAGCAAGAAACACTTTATTTCGGCACATGTCAATGGAGGTTCAACAATACGTCATACATAAATTTATTAAATTTGGCTTTGTAGGTCGAAGGCGAGCCAAAAAAGGTCATTACACCTATTCGTTCACGGCTCGCCTCTATGTTTATACTTCTAAGACACAGATTAACTAATAGCACAGAATAAATAATAGTACTACGTACTAATAGTCTAAGGTTTATACGCAAGGTATATCGTTCGTATTCTACAGATGTCTCCAAATTCTGAATTACAAAAGGATGTAAGTACGTTGATTGTGGGGTCCCTTAGAGCCCATTTAATTTAGTCGGTGCCCAAATTAAATTTACCATTATATGTAAAAAAATGTGCTTATAAAAAATTATTTAAGGTAATTTAAGGCAAACTGTATTTACTTATATTATTAGAAATAAGGGTGTATAATGTAAGGCCCTTCTACATAAAAAGATTTTTCCCTTCTTCATAAAGAGATTGTTTTCCGTGACTGCCGTAAATGTCAAAGAAAAATGCTTTTATCTTATAGCTTCTGACAGAGATTTGAAAAATCATGTCTAGCATAAGCGTATTCCCCAACCGCTCTGGAAAGAGCGATGTAAGGCTTTATAATATTATGCTCGCAGGTTTATCAAAAAATGTCGTTTCCATCGTCCACACCAAGTGCTGCTCAGGATTCTTGAATCTTAATGGTTGAAACCAATATTGTAAAAATTGTAATAATTGCGAGTTAGTTAAGAGTAACACTAACAACTGACCTCACCTCAACTTTTAGTGGTTCATTTAGTCTAGATTCAAAGCAGTAAAATGAAAACTAAGTGTGTTTGCAAGAGTGCAGCGGTACTTTACACCAGGGCAGCCTCTGACTATACAAATATAGCGCTGGTCTGGTCGTGCATGGAGTATTGCTGTCACATATGGGCCGGTGCTGCGAAATGCCACCTAGAAGTACTTAAACTCAGTAGAAAGGCGTGCTAAACGGCTTATTGGTGAAATTGATTTGTTTGAAACCAATATTGTCAGCCGCGAGCATAGGCGCAGAGTAGTCAGCTTCTTGGTATCCTATAAATTTAAGAGTGTGCGCAGGCCTTGGCATAATGAAGAACATGCCTTAATTCTTTGCTTCCCTTTCCACCATCGGAAAACCAGACGGTGTGCGAGCCCTTATCGTCTTGATGTCTTTATTCCACGCACTCGAACTAAACGGTTTACTTAATTTTTCGTAATGCGTGGTATGCAAAGGTGCGGAATAATTCGCTGACGTCTGTCTTTCGGTCTGATAACAATCTGGGTGACTTTAAGGCAAAAGTGAATAAGCTTTTGTTTCGTTAAGACAGTGCGATTTACTTTCTATGGCTACATCACCACTTACGACTAGATGGCATTGTATTTAAGCGATGACTTAAATAAGTAAAAAAAGATTTGAATCTGAAATATATATTAAGCAATATAGTCCAAACTTGTATTAATATTTTGCTATTTCCACCGCGAAACATCAGTATCTCTGCTGTATTCCGGAGTTCTTATACAACCCGGATGGGAGTATATTTACATTATTTTCACATAACTTTTCTTTCGTATTTATAAGGATTTTTTATTGCACTCGCTTAGAAAATTTATTTCGCAAAGCTTTTGGATAGCGATGTCTAGTGTTTTTTTCTTAACGTCACTTTGTTATATTTTTAAATAATTATTTATTACATACATAGAAATATAAGAACTATTTAATGTATCATCAGTGGGAACTTAAGCTTTTCTTGTCAAGTACCATATCTGTTCTTCATACTTTTTCTTTCAAAATAGCAAATTTTGTTTTAAAACTTTTGATTTTTTAAAGATTAAGAGTGATTAACGAACATACAATCCACTTGATGCTAAGTGGCTGTAGTGATCTGTTATCATCATCATCATCATCATCATTGCAGCCTATCAACACTGACCATACGAAATACAACAGCATTAAACTGCTATTTCACGCTGGTACTCTGAGAGAGTGTGGTATTTCCCCGGTCGATCAAACCCTTCGTGCTAATACTACTATAATATAGCTACAGCGTGACTCTACGACTACATTTTTATTATATATCAGTGATTTTAATAAAAGAGAGTGGGATTTTTAGGCCTGAAATTAACAAATTGGTATATACTTTAAAAAATTAGCTTTATTTTTCTGAATTAAAATACAAAAACTGGCTAGTTTTAAAATCTAGAATTCTGGAAAACATAAAAATAATAAATAATTTAAAATATCAATTATATTAATACAATCGATTTAATATTTTTTCGAATCCAAAAAAAAAATAGCTTTCTAAGGTTTCAACATTCTATTATTTACTTTGAATAACATTTGAACCGAATTGGAAATAAAATATGAAAATTGTTATAATATATAAATTGGCTTATACCATAAAATACTACAATTATACTTTAAAAAATTGGCCTTATTTTTCTGAATTATACAAAAACTGGCTTGTTTTTACAATCTAGAATTCTAAAAACATAAAAATAAGAAGTAATTTAGACAATCGATTGTATTAATACTACGATTTAATACTTATTCGAATCCAAAAAATAAAAATAAAATAAATAGCCTCTAAGGTTTCAAAATTCTATTATTTACTTTTTACATTTCAACCCCAATTGAAAATAAAATATGTTATTGGCATAAGGAAAAAAGAAATAAACATTTTTATGTCATTAAATTGAGTCGAATGGTCTAAACAATAAATCGATTAAAATAAAGAATCTATACACTAGTGAAATTCTCGTTTCTGAACGCTACCTACCACTGAACGTCTTTTCATTTCAAAACTTGACGAGTCAAGTCTTCAAAACTAGTGACATAATTTAAGAAAAAGAACCATTTTCGATATTTTTCTGTGTTTTCTCTCGTTAGGAGATAAAAAAGAATTGCGATCACATCTACAAAATACTTATTAAAAATACAAAACATCAACATGCTAACATATGACAGTAACAACACCATATAAAAAAATTAAAAAATAGATATTTATATGATAGATTTTGTAAAAAGTAAACAAGAAATATGGATTTCTATTTATAAAATTTCATTATAAATTTTATATTAAAATTTTAAGAATATTTTTGTCTGTTTCTCAAATATGCAAAACGCTGTCCACCATATAAGACACTGTCGTGACGTCACTAATCCCGCCTAAAAGTGTTCTGCGTCACTGATTAAGAGAACTAGCTTATGTGCTGTGGTATTTCGAAATTTTTCAAGTTATCATTACAATTATTGAGTTTTATTCTGAATTTTATTGAAAAGGCATCATGGAAGACGAATTAGTAAAAGCAGGCAACATTTTTTGCATGCAATCCCAATTTTTGTTCTACTGAGTAGAGGAATGTTAAAACATCAATATAAATACCTATTACCAACTTTTGTTTATACAAAAACACAATACAAGGTCAGAATGTATTTTGATAAAACATAGTTTAGTAGCTATCATAGCTTAGTTTATCTACAATTACAATCATTAGCAATTATTAGTTATAATATCCTAAGTTAACGTAATTTATTACAAAATTTAACTTGCGATACCCTTCACCCCATGATGTTATGTTTTGTATAAACGATAGTTAAATATAAGTCATATCAGAATGATCTTCACAGAAGAATAGTCTAGTTTTTGCTTTTTGTAGACAATTTGTTCGGGTATCTTCTTGCCAGTTTTCACCAAGTATTTCTTATATTTAAATCAGTTGGCACTTGAATCCACAACTTTCCCGGCGTTCTTATGCTTGTTTTCTTTTGCATTCCGGCACAACAAAACAATGATATAAATGATAACTTATTATTAAATATTAAAAAATATCTTATTCCTTTGCAAAAATTAAGTAAGACACTGACGTCACGAGGTGAACAACATGGCGGCTAGCGTATTCACGCGAAAATTTAAAACGATGGATTAAAAGTAATTTTTATTGCACTATTCGGTTTTAAAAAAATTATATAAAAATTGTAGTCGTTCATTATCACTCCAGGATTCATTTAAAATACTTTTTGAAAGTGGGTGTACTACCTATTTAAGTAATGGATCTCAGATCGACATGCCTAATATTCACTACACTTGTTACTTTCTTGTTATATATTAACTTTTCTCAATTGTTTAAACATTCTGTTTCCTTGATAGCCACAGTTTTTCTTTAATGATTTTATACTGATCCTGCTTTTTTATTGACCTTTATTTCGCACCGAGAATTTTGCCTACACGATCGACCCCGATTAGCTATTGACATCATGGGCCATTGTTTCAATTATTGTAATACATTTATAATACGTATGCGAATTTATAAATATAATTGTATATTCAAGTTACTATAGTAAAAAAATCAACATACTACAGCTCTTAGATTAATCTTCTCCTTCATGAGTTTACAAGAAAATCAGACAAAATGTTAGTTTGATATACAAAATGTTGTATTACTGTTATTCTAGCCAATAGAAACGAAGCAC